TACAATGCCTCCATGCGGAGTATAAAGGCGCTGCACACTGCAGCACTGACCCTGAAAGATGTCCAGGCAATGTTGTTGTTTTTTTTTTGTTTTTTTTTTCTTTACTTTCTTTACTGTGTGTTTTGTCATAGTTGTACTGCAATTTAACAATTTGTCTTTTTGAACAGAAATCTCCAAGTGACTATAACAACTTTGACCGCGAGTTTCTGAGCGAGAAACCACGTCTATCCTACAGTGACAAAAACCTCATAGATTCTATAGATCAGACCGCATTTTGCGGGTTCTCTTTTATTAATCCCAAGATGGAACGGCTCCTGGAGAAATAACATCCTCTTTCATTTAAGCTTTATTTTTTTACATCTGGACTGTGAGCATCAACTTATAAAAAGAGGACTGAACTGTCTTCAGTGTGAAATATGTTTCAATGGCAACTGGCCACATTATCAACTCAAACATTTTGTCCTCTGAAGGTTCTTGACCACCAAACTGGCATCAATAACTGCATGTTTCTATGACTTCCATTTTCCCTTTTAGAATGTACTGTGTATATGTATTACCTTAAAACTGGTTACGTGAATGTAGTTTGTGTCAAAAACCCCAAATATAAATATATACATATATATATTAGATTTACAAGAATTTGCTGTATATATTGCTATGGTGGATTACCAAATAAGCAATGTTTTGAGAAAGTGGGTGGGGAATGAAGGGACTGTGATAAATATATTTTTTACGGGACACTCCGAATTTGTTCTTAAAAATAAATGAATTTTCTGAAGACTGACTTTGTCTTTATTTGTCTTCTCTATCGGATATTTACATTCTGTTTGAATGTACATTCAAACACAATTTTCATAAATTTATGAATGTGATATTACTTTGTTTTCAGCAACCCGTTGACCGTGATTTCTGTTTTATACCAGAGCTATGTACTATGAGTAATTCATGATAAGTCATGGCATTGTAGTTTTGTACTACAAATCTATCAATTTTAATGTTTTTAAATAACAGAATGCAATAACATGTCCAATACAGGGAAAGATATCTAGAAACACGATGCATCTATACAGGGACACAAAGTGTAAAGATGCCTCTATAGCCTGTAGAATAAACCAAATGTAAAATATACCTAAGTGGCGTGATGAGAGGGTAACACCCACAATGCTGGCTTAATGGTGTAGGAAACTGTGGGTGGGGGAGTAAGAAGGGGCAAGAAAGCACCACCAGCAGTGCCCAGGTAGGGTAAATGTACTCCTGTGAGCACTAAGCAGGACCACACTTAAGAAAAATACTTAAACAAAACCATGAGAGGAAAATAAAGTAGAGATTAAACTATTGGGAAATCATGCAGTCTCTAGATAATACCACTAAATATGATGAGCCCCTCTGGAACAAACAGGCAAACCCAGGTAGGTGATTTTTGAGAAGTGCTCTGGTGATGGTTGAGCAGAAGGCTCTCTGGTAGCCAGAGATTCTGGTAGCCTTGTTAACTTTTAAAGTCCCAGAGTCCTGAGACTTCTATAAGCATTGTGGGGCACTCAATTTGTAAGCCCGCTAGGAGAACCAAGTTCCTGGGTCAGTGGGTGCAAAGATCTCCGCCAGTCTAGGATAGCTCTGGTAAAATCAGGGAAAAAGTCCGAACTACCTTTTAAACCTGTATGGAGATTAATTGCAGACCGCAGCCATGAAAACAATTCTGTCTTGTTTTTGTTAGTTTCCAAAATGGTCATTACATGTTCACTTTGTTGGAAACCTTCACTGGTTCTGGGATATAATAACAGCAGTCTAAAAGCATAGATTCTTGCCTGCTTGGTAGAAAATAAGTGGGAATTCAGTTTCCTAATAAGAAGGGGTAATTGAGCTTTGTCTACAGCAGGGGTTCCCAATTAATTATTTTTTCCCGTGGAACCCTTTGACCTAGTGTATCAACATCGTAGAACATTTTTATTGTATGTGCCGGTGTGTGTCAAGGGGTGTATATCTGTGCTTGTATGTTCCAGAGTGTGTGTGTGTATATATCTGACACATAGATACACACTCTGACACACACTGTGTATGTATGTATGTATCTGTGTGTCAAGGCGTGTGTATCTGTATTTTTTATGTGTCTGTGTATCAATGTGTGTGCATCTGTGTTTGTATGTGCCAGTGTTTATGAATCTGACACACTGATACATCCACACACTGACACAGATACACACACCTTGACACACAGTGTGTATCTGTGTGTATGTATCTGTGTTTGGATGTGCCGGTTTGTCACGGTATGTATATCTGTGTTTGGATGCGCCAGCTAGTGTATCTCTGTATGTGTCAAGGTGTGACACAGATATACACACACACTGGCACACAGATACACACTGACACATACATCTTGACTCACAAATACACACACTCAGATACACACAGTGACATACACACACTTGCTGCCACAGATGCACACTGGCACATACACACACACATACTCTTTGACAGACACACATACACTCTCACTGACACACACATACTCTTTTACAGACACACATACAAACACATACACTCACACACTCACTGACAAGCACACATTCACTCTCACTGACAAGCACACATATACTCTTTGACAGACATACAAACTCACTGACAGACTCACATACAATTTTTTAAAATTATTTTAACTTTAGGAGTGCTGGCATGGAGTCCCTGGGGTCCAGTGAGGCTGTTGAGTGGCTGGCAAGGGAGCAGTGATCTTCCTGCTCAGCCCCCTCGCGCACCTCTTAGTGATGTCGGAGCCGGAGTGACATCATATTCCGGCTCCAGCATAATTGCTGTGCGCGCGAGGTAGCTGAGCAGGGAGATCACTGCTCCCGCGCCCATTTTATTTTTTAAACTTTTGGCGGAACCCCAATTGGTGTTGAGAAACACTGGTCTACAGCATCTGACATGCCCCTCACTATGACATTCTTTTAGTGCCTTCTGTCCCCTGTAGCATTCATGCATTGTTTAAGTTGATGCTGGGGACTCTGCAATACCTGTATTGTATGTTCAAAGGTGGAGATGCGATCTTCATGGGCCACTGTGGTCAATTCTTGTTATGAAGACATGCAGATACCACGTTTTTATCTCCTTTTGGCATTACCTAATATCAGTCATGATGTGATGTATATCTTGCAAAAGATATGTTATGGTTTCCTCCATCACAGGCCATATGCACTCACAACAGGTATGTGTGCACTCCCTAACTCAACATGCAGAGGAAGATCTCTTCCTCATCACCAAGCAACTCCTCATGAGCTGACTGTGAGGGCCTCCTGGGCAATGATGCTATTACAGGTGTCTTGGAGGTCTGTGGCCATCAAAGCAGATCTCCAATGTCTGCAGTGAATGGCAGCTTATCAGCTTTATAGTTCTTGCTTCTGCTCGCCATAGTTATTATCCTAAAGAGCTGGAGCCACAAAATGTTGTTTTTATCAAGTTAAGCAACTCTGGTACAGAGCTCTGCAAAAATGCATCCTACCAGAATGGCTGATGAATCCGCCACCCACAGTACTTAAATTTTTTTATTTTTTTTAAATCTTTATTTTTTCAATGGCAGATCATATATGATAGTACATATGTCAATTATATATTACAGAAAGGAAAAGAAAGTCAATTGTTATTTTGTTGAGGTTTTTCTTCCTGTTGTGGTGATTGACATGGTCGCTTTCTGCCAGAGTTTAGTTTTTTATAGTCAAAGAAGAATAATAACAAATAACCTTAGGGAGTGTTGCTTTCAACATGTTGCAGTGTTATTCAGGGACTTTGTTAGCGTGTTTTTATCATAGGATGTGACATGTGCGTGGGGTGTGATCAGCATCTCTGTGTGTGTTGGGTTGGTAGAGGACCGTGTAGAGCAATGAAAGAGTGATTGTATAGTCAGCGTTACATGTCATAATGACATTTTGTATTGGGTGTCATAAAAAATTAGCTGCATTACTACATTTAATAGGTTTGCTCTAGGTATGTTTATCTAATAATCATATGCTCTTTATGTCTACCTTGCTTTGATTGTTCTGCGACCCCTGAATCTATATAAGTTTGCCCCCCTCCATCCCCTCAGATTTTTTTCAAAGCAATAACTAATTACAATTACCGATCCACTGGATATCCCCGCCCCCCAAGAGCCGTGTATAGATTTCTAGATGAGTGGCACTTCCTGACACCACCTCGGTCGAGAACCATGCCGTGTACTCCAAAGTTGCTCTAATTCTAAATTGGAAAGAGGTGTCCAGCGTAGAAATGTACCATTTCCACGTGAGTTTTTTTAACCAGAAGTTCCTTGTTGGTTAGGGTATGAAGCCAATCCATTTTAAAAAGGAACTTGAGTTTGGTTAAGAATAAAATGAGTGTTGGACTTCCAAACCTGAAGAATGGTTTTGCGACCCACCACTGCTATGATCATAGAGAAGCGTCTATTAGGTATTGGGGTCACCGCGTACGGGTCCCAACAGTAGGAAACTGGGATTCAATGGTATGGGTGTCATATTGTTGTTCGTTAAGTATTGTGTAACCTCTCTCCAGAAAGTCTGGATCATGGGACACCTCCACAGACAGTGATACATATCTGTCCTTCCTTGCCATGAGATCGGTCGATGTGGTGTGAAGTATGCGTAGTGTGTGGTTTTCAGGAACATGTCTCGATACGAAACCATGGGGAGCAGTTGACTTTGAGTATAGTGTGAGTTGAGGATGTTCTTAGGTGTGATGTCAGGGAAATGAGTCTTCCATTTCCCCAGACTCATTTTTAGTGTGTTCCAGTCGGGTGTGTATCGTAGAAGGGCATAGAAGGTAGAGATGGAGTAAAATGCTGGGTTTGTGGTACATAAAAGACAATCCAGAGAGTTACTCCAGTCAGAGGGCGTGAGGCGTTTACTGACTTTGTAAAAATAATGTCGTACTTGAAAGTATGTGAACCAGGGTATGGGAAGGTCTGGGAGGCACCCCATGGTGAGAAATTTTGTTTATGTCAATATCTACAAAGGAACTCAGAGACCCTGCCCTGACCACATTGTGAATGGGAATGTGTTGGATCCGTCCTGGAACTCGGGTTTCCGGAGCAGGGGTAGGTGTATGGAACATAGAGGGCTTGCCCCCATGCTGGCCCGAGCCATCTTCCAGGCCTTAACAGCCAAGAGAGGGTTTGAGAGAATATCATCCGAATGTAGGTTGTGTGGTTTGTGTAGGAGTACTGGCAGGGAATACGACTGCGCCAGAAAGGATTTCAGGGCTAGGTCTGAGTATCGTGACTGCGATTGGATCCGATCAAGCGCATGCCGGAGTTGAGCCACCATACTGTATTCACTGGCGTTTGGGAGATTAAGTCCTCCGTTGCATTTGGTTTGGTGAAGTTTAGTTAGGCTCAGCCTGGCCCTTGACCCCTGCCAGAGGAAGTGCCTCAATTTTTTGTTTAGAAGGCATTCATCTTTTTTTGAGAGTAAGACTGGGAGTACTTGAAGTGGATATTGTAGCTTTGGGAAACTAACTAGTTTATAAAGATTGGCCCTATGTATGAGAGTGGCAATTTGTGCCAGTGTTCCAATTCATTAAAGATGGAGAAGAGAACAGGAGGAATGTTCAGTTTGTACAGTTGGACAATGTTTCATGGTATCATGATCTCTATATATTGTAAGGTCGAGGTTTGCCATTTCAGTGGGACATCCCTTGGCAGCCTAGGTGGCGGTCCCCTCCCCAGATGTAGTGCACTGAATTTCTACCAGTTAACTTCGAGTCCTGCCAGGGCTTGGAATTTGTCACTGTATATTCTCCATCAAATTAGCATCTCTGCTTGTGACTATACAGCTGACATTTTGTGTGCTCCATTTTGTACATTGAGTTTGAGGAAAACATAAATATCAGATTTAGTTTGCCCAGTTGAAGCTAGTACTTTTTATTCTCCCCCAAGCAGTTTATTTTCTCTCCCAGTGCCTATCTGCAGCTCCTGTTCACTAACTTGCAGGCTTATTGAATAGATTCTACAGTAAGCAGTTGATCTCTGGTAATCAAATGGCACTTTATCTCCTGAAACAGAATCTAGCCCTATAGTGGCAAATTAAAACAGGTAGCATGTGACTCAGCTCATGGCAGCAACAACTTTATATTCTAATAGAAACATTGACAGGGAAAAATGGTTTCTCCAGGCTCAAACATACTGTGTTGATAAACGAGGAAGAGAGAGATTCCCATTACAAAATACACTTACGTGTTTCAAAATAAGCGAAAGGGACAATCCGTGAGACTTGATGAACATGAGTGGGTTGTCTATAGACGTAAGAGCATTTTTTTTTTTGAAATTTGTATTTTATTGGTTTTCACATCAATAAGTGTAGGGTGGGTGGGGTGGGGTACAGAAAAAAGAAGGAGGTGGGGGAGGGAGGGGGGGGGAGGTTCAGTCACATTACAGATATTTGCAGCGGTTCAACAGCACACAGTAGACGGTTGATCTCCCTATGCATCTTAGTACAGCTGATCCGAACATCTAGGCATATTTCCCAATTCCTAAGTCTCAATCTGCTTTATAGTACTCTCTGACCCAGTGTTTTTCCCCCCACTACCTCGAGGTGCTTGCTACCCACATTCTATCTGCGTTTAGCCTTTGTGTTTAGTTAAGTTGTTGATGGCTTACGTGTTATTCGTTAGCTGTCTCCAGACGCGCCACTGTTCCCACGTACTGCTACTGCAGCTGGTGCTATTCCGCGCTTTGGAGAAGCTTGTTTCATAAATAGCCTGGTTGTCTATGTCCTGGATGAGGGCAGGAATGCTAGGGGCTTCTGTTGTTTTCCAGAGTTGTGCTATCAATTTTTGTGCGGTTAGCAGGACGTGGTACATTAATTTTCTCGCTTGTGTGGGTGTTTCCCTGGGTATGTCTAGCAGTAGAAAAGTCTTAGGATCAAGGGGTAGTTGAATGGTAGTGGTATCGGCAATGATTTTTTGGGTGTCTTCCCAGTATCTGATTAGGCGAGGACATTTCCACCAAATGTGGAGGACCGAGCCCTTCTCTTGTTTGCATCTCCAACACGTCGGAGACGCATTGGGGTACAGTTTATGTATACGTAGCGGCACCATGTACCACTGATATATTGTTTTCTTGTGTTGCTCTATAAGGGGAGCAGATTTGATCAATTTTCTAGTGGAAGATGTGATAATGGACCACTGTCTCTCAGTGATGGGAGTCTGGAGGTCTATTTCCCATTGGTGTGCTGGCGTGGAGTCGGAGAGGGGTTGGTACGGCAAAATAAGTCTGTAGCATCCAGATAAGGGTTTGAAGGTCTGGGGTAGTTTGCCTGTGATACCTGTTTGTTCCCAGATTGAGAGCTCTCTAGTATCTTTAGTCTCTCTTCCTCTATCCTTGTTGCTTGTGTGTAGAAAGGATTTAAGTTGAATGTATGAATATCGTGATGTGTGTGGTAGGTTAAAAATCGTTGTGAGACGTTCAAAACTCATCAGCTCGCCCGATTCAAAAACCTGAGCTAGGTGTGAGATTCTCCTGCCCATCCATGGTGTTGCGTGAAATGTTGGGATGCAGTATGTTATGGCTTCTATGGGTGTTGCCATGGAGAGGGGGTTGGCTGTCTCGAACTTCATCCTATGTGTGTCCCAAATTTGTAACGCTATTTGTACTTGTAAGGGTAGTAACGGTGTGTTTGGTCTGTTTGTTTTGTGCAACCATATCAGATTATTGGTCGAAAAGGGTTTAACAGATAGGTTCTCTAAGTGTACCCATTGTGGTTGGTTGTCCCTCACCAAATGTGTTAGCAGAGGGGTTAAGACTGCCGCTTGGTAGTAGGATTTTACATTCGGAAACGCCATGCCCCCGTGCTTCACTGGTGCGGATAATAGTCTGCAAGAAATTCTCGCCCGTCTTGCTCCCCAGGTAAACTGCAGCAGCTTAGATTGTATGGTTTTAAAGTAAGATTGTGGCACCTTTAACGGGAGGTTCCGAAACACATATTGAAGTTTCGGTAGTACCGTCATTTTAATAGCAACAATACGTTCCGTCCAAGTGAGGAACAGTTTTTCCCAGCCCCGCAGTAAGGACTGGCACTCATTCCATACTCTGGTATAGTTAGTCGGGAACATATCGGAGGCTTTTTTAGTGAACGTCAGGCCTAGGTATTTAATGTCATTTGTCCGCCATTCGAATTGGTAATCTTTACGTAGATGTGTGAGGGTTTGTGGGTCTAGACGTAACCCTAATGCTTGTGTTTTGGAGGTGTTTAAGGAATAGTAGGAGAGACCTCCGTATTCCTCGATAAGTTGCATTATGTGTGGTAGGGAGGCAACAGGGTGGGAAACATACAGAAGGATATCATCCGCAAATGCACTAATCTTGATTTGTCGGCCATGCCAATTTACGCCTTTGATATCGGGATGAGATCTAATGGCTACTAGTAAGGGTTCCAGGGCCAGTACGTACAGCAAGGGGGACAGGGGGCACCCCTGTCGGGTGCCGTTTGTGATTCGAAAGGGATCTGATTTGAATCCTGCCTGTAGTACCTGGGCCCTGGGGTGGGAGTATAGGGCGAATACTTGCTGAATGAACTGTTGTGGGAATCCAAATATCGACAAGACCTGTTTTAAGAAGGACCAACCTAGGCGGTCAACCGCTTTTTCAGCGTCCAGAGCTAACAGTAGCCCACCTTGGCCTGATCTTCTCAATTCTTCCATAATTAGGGACAGTTTTCGTGTATTGTCTAGCCCCTGCCTCCCAATCACGAACCCTGTTTGATCATCATCTATGATCGAGGGCAGGATTTTACCTAATCTGGAGGCCAGGATTTTTGCGTATATCTTAGCGTCCGTATTTAATAAGGAGATTGGCCTAAAATTTTTACATTGGTCCGGGGGTTTCCCAGGTTTTGCTAGGGTAACTATAGTTGCTAATAGCATCTCAGGGGGGAGTTCTCCTGAGTCTGTAGCTGCTTGGAATATTTGGACAAGTTTAGGGCCTAATATTTCTGCAAATGTTTTATAATACAGGTTTGGTAGGCCGTCTGCTCCTGGGGTTTTTCCTGAGGGGAGGTTCCTTATTGTATGGAGTACTTCTGGTAGAGTAATAGGTTGAAGTAATTGTTGTGGCAAACCTAGCCACTCGGACTATAACTGGACACTATGCCTTTAAGGGTTGCCTATAAGTCTGGAGAGAGATGCGTTGTACCTGTATGTGCCTGCTTCATGTATTCCCTGCATTGCCTGTACCTATCTGTTCCGCCGAATGCAAATGGCGGTTTGTATGGGGATTCCCGTTCGTTTCGCGAACGGCACTTTGGAGGGCCGTTCGTGAAACGAATGCGATACCCCCTAATAGCCCACACACTTAGAGGCGTGTGGCGCTAGTTAACCGATTGCAACATTGTTGCAATCGGTTATTAGAGGCTCTCCTGGGTGGCCGTCGTTCGACTACCGACCATGCGGCGGTCGGCCATCTTGGATCCCTTGTTCTTCAGCGGGTCCGTGTCGTCGAACGCATAGCATTACCAACAGTTATTCGACGGCACGAACACCGCTAAGCCTCCAGGACGTTCGGGAGTTTCAGGACCAGGTTCACTAAAAGCAATCGGTTCTTTTCGTGTGTTTTGAAAGAAATGTGTTTTCTGTGCGGCGTTCGGTTATTTTAGCTGGGATCTGAGCGGCAATCTCACGAATGATGCGCCCAGACCCCAGCTATCTACCGAACGTCCATTCGTGTAAATCCACCGTATATTGTACCAGCTGTAGATTTTTGTGTGAATTGCCGGTTCTGCTGCACGAGGAGATAATCCCCTTAACGGTGCATTCTGGGAGGATGATCCCTCTCGTGCAGCGGTGCCTGATGGGAGAAATATGTAGTACAGTAAGTCCCCCATGTAGTCCCCTCCTGTACAACCCCTGTAATGTCTGTTTGGAAACCCCTTGCATGGGGAATTGCATAAATACTGTGACCTGTGATTAAAACCTCAGTTGACTCCCAGCCTATGTGTCGTCTAGTTCTTGGGAAGGAAGGGTTACTGCAGTGCTGTTTGGATTATTATATGCTGATTCCCTGGATTATCCTTTGTTGTTCCTGTTACCCAGCGGAGATATCGTGGATCATACTGCCTCTCCGCTACAATTGGTGGCAAGCGACGGGATTGAATTTACACAGCAAAGCAACGTTCGGCAGATTTTTAAACGAATCAAGGAACAAGCATTCGGGAATTAGCGCATTCGAATGAACCTCACGAACAGCAGGTGAATGGGAACAGATTACGCCCTGCTAAAACGGAGCACATTAAAGGAGCTGCTGGAAGCAAGAGGAGCAATCGCCGGTAACAAGGCAAAGGCTGTCCTAATTACGGAGCTCATGGAAGGAGACAGAGCCGCAGCTGCTGCAGCACCTCAAATGGAGGGACAAACCAACGAATTTACAGCGGAATTCCGAGCACGAATGGCTTTATTTCCGGAACCACCATCTACAGAGATGATTAACCGGCTGTTCGCTGATGTACAGGAGTACATTATGGCTAGGGGACCGCCAGGAAACCAGCAAGCCAAAGAAAGAGCCGCAACGCCAGTCCATATTTTCCCAGGGAAAGCCAAAATCCCATATCAAGCCTTCAAAAGCTATGTGGAGACAGAGGGTGGCGTTGACGACTATTTACAGGATTTCGAGAGACTGTGTTTGCTGCACGAAATTAATGATGCAGACAGAGTACCCCTACTAGCGGGGAGATTATCTGGGCGAGCCGCCGAAGCGTACCGGGCAGTACCAGACGAGGATAGTAGAGACTACGCTAAAGTAAAACGGGCCATCCTAGCCCGGTATGCCATCACATCAGAGGCATACCGAAAGAAGTTTCGGGACATTAAGAAACCCAGTAAGGACACCCATGTGGAATGGGCGCACCAGCTGCAACGAGCTGCCAAAGGGTGGCTGGAGGCCGCCCAAGTTGATACTTTGGAGGGTCTGTTCCAGCTAATAGTACTGGAACAATTCTTCAATGGCGTCCCGACCTACCTACAAAACTGGATCCGGGACAGAAAGCCACACACCCTGCAGGAAGCGGCTAATATGGCAGACGATTTCCAGGACAATCAGAGAGATCAACCCATACCAACCCGAGCCACCATTCCCCCTACAACGGCCAGCCCTCCAGGGGGCCCCGCAACGTACCAGCGACCAGGGGTAAACCAGAATTCCTACCCCCCCAGATATTCAGCACGTCCACCAATCCGGTGCCATACCTGCAACCAACAGGGGCACATCCAGAGAGACTGCCCACGGAACCGGCCTCGACCCAGCTGGAATAACGCCGCCCCGAGCAACCGTGCCGCAGTCCATTGTCTACAGGCCGAATCCTACCAAAATCTGGAGTTGGGGACAACCTGGGAGGAACCCCTCGGTACTCTACACGAGGTGAACCCTATCCAGGCCGCCTCCGATAACCGCCAAGGGCACCGCCAGGAAGTACACATGGAGGGGAGGAAAGTACAAGGACTTCGTGACTCTGGAGCCACCCTAACTCTAGTACGCAGTCATCTGGTACCAAAGCCCAAGCTCACGGGGGACTGTGTGGCTGTGCGGGTGGCTGGGGGATCCATTTACAAAGTACCCACGGCCAAGGTGCACTTGAATTGGGGAGCGGGGCACGGGAATGTATATGTGGGGATGATGCAAGACTTGCCAGCAGATGTGATTTTGGGCAACGATTTGGGGGAGCTGACTTCAGCTTTTGTCCCACAGCCCACCGTACAAGAAGCATACCCGGTTGTGACCCGGCAACAGGCCCGCACCACTGCACCATCCGAACACTCTGAGGCTCAGGTAAGCAATGACCCTCCCCTACCCCCTATCATGCCCTGGGCCAATTCCATAGAGTTCGGGGCCGAAGTAGCCCTAGATCCTTCGTTACAGGTATACAAAGACCGCATGGATAAAAATCAAGCCGGGTTAGAGGGGGAAAGATATATCTGGGACAAAGGACTACTATATCGGCACGCAGAGAAGGTAGTGTCCGGGTCAATACCGTTGCCCATTAAACAGCTAATAGTGCCTCGAAAGTATAGGTTAGAGCTGTTACGCATAGCCCATGATATCCCTCTGTCTGGACACCTAGGCATCAGTCGGACCAAGCACAGGCTGACCCAAAATTTCTTTTGGCCAGGTATTTCCCAGGATATTAAGCGATATTGTCAGACCTGCGATACCTGCCAAAGGGTAGGCAAGAGGGGGGACAGATACAAAGCCCGACTACGGTCTCTGCCCATCATTGAAGAACCATTCAGTAGGGTGGCAGTAGACATTATAGGTCCCCTTACAAAACCCAGCCCCTCCGGCAAGAAGTATGTCCTAACTGTGGTGGACTACGCCACCCGGTATCCTGAGGCAGTGGCCCTAACGAACGTACACGCCGAAACGGTAGCCGAGGCCCTGATGAGGATATTCACCCGGGTAGGATTTCCCCGGGAGATTATCTCCGATAGAGGCACCCAGTTTACGGCTGAAGTGACCCATCAGCTCTGGAAAATATGTGGGATACAACAAATCCTCAACTCCCCATATCACCCCCAGTCCAATGGGCTCTGTGAACGGTTTAACGGAACCCTGAAACAAATGATCCGCACGTTCATGGACACCCAAAAGGACTGGGAGCGGTTTTTACCCCACCTACTGTTCGCATATCGAGAAGTGCCGCAAGAATCCACCGGATTCTCTCCGTTCAAATTATTATTCGGGAGGAGAGTGAGGGGACCGCTTGACTTGATACGGGAACACTGGGAGGGAGACGAAACCATTAATGGCACCCCTATCTTACCATATGTGCTCGAGTTCCGGGAACGCCTGGAGAGGC